ACAAAGGGGGACCAGGTCCAGGCTTCTCATGGAGGAGGCCCTCTTGGGCAGAGAACAATCTTGCCTCCATCAGGGTGGAATATATCTCCAGAGTGGCCAACCAGCAGGCGGACTCATTGAGCAGATCAACTGTGGACCACGTCCAATGGCGCCTGGACCCGGGATTATTCAGGGAGATCGTGGACAGGTTTGATCCCCCAACCTTAGACCCCTTTGCCTCCCCGTCAATTCCCAACTTCTGAGATTCTTTTCCAGGTTCCTGTTTCCGACAGCAGAAGGGACGGATGCCCTCCGCAGTCCCTGACCCAAGGAGCTGTTGTACACCTTTCCTCCCTTACCACTCCTTCCCGGAACAATCCGCAAGATCCTACATGAATGGGCAGAGGTCATTCTGATTGCACCACATTGGATGAGACATCCGTGGTTCGCCGACCTGGTAGAGCTCTCCATCTCCACCTACCCCCCCATGGAGGATCCCCACAGGTCATATTACCCTGGCTCAAGGAGTACTTCAGCATCCAGACCCATGGTGGCTCCAACTTACCGTTTGGCACATGAGAGGCCTTGACCCGAGACTCATATTCGTCGAGGGTGATTGCCATGATTCAGCAATCCAGTCACCCCTCAACGAATAGAATCTATGATGCCACATAGAGGAACTTCTGTACCTGGTGCTCTGGTCATAAAGTGGAACTCTCAGACATCTCTGTTCCGATTGTTTTGGAATTCCTGATGGATGGGTTGGACAAGGGGCTATCCCCGAGCACCATTCGCAGACAAGTTGCAGCTCTATCCACAGTACTCCTGTGCCACACTTCCGCTCTCCTGGTACACCACCCTACAGTGTGTTCCTTTTTAAAGGGAGCGACTAATGCCAGGCCACCAGCGGTTCACCGATATCCTTCTTGGGACCTACACTGGGTCTTACAGGCCCTCATCTCATCACCTTTCGAGCCCATTCATTCATGCTCTCTTAAACTGTTGTCCATGAAGGTGGCCTTTCTCGTAGCAGTCACGTTGGCCAGACGAATTTCAGAACTGGCCACTTTCTCCATCAGAGAGGATCTGTGCATCTTCCATGCAGACAGGGTGACCCTCAGACTAGATCCTTCCTTTATCCCCAAGGTCAGTTTGTTGTACCATAAGTCCCAGGAGGTGGTTTTACCAAATTTCTGTCCTAACCCTTCCCATGATCTCAAGAAACGGTGACATACTCTGGATGTTCGCAGGGCCCTGCGACGTTACATCAAATGGACTTCGGCTTTCCGTAAATCTGAGGAATTGTTTGTTTCATTTCAACCTTCCTCTGTGGGTAAGAAGGTCTGTTCCTCAATGATAGGGAGATGGATTAGGGCTTGCATCACCCTAGCATACCGGTCACAATCATTGACTGTTCCTGGACACATCACGGCCCATTCCAGTTGTGGCGCCGCTACATTGGCAGCCTGAGAGACCCAGGCGCCTATCGGGGAAATCTATAGGGCGGTGACATGGTCCTCACCTTCATCTTTTGTTAGGCACTACAAAATTGACAAATATGCCTCCTCAGATGCCTCATTTGGTCGCAGGGTATTGCAACATGAAATATCAACCAGCGGGACCCAGGCCCAAACTATTTTCCCTCCTTAGGGACAACAGGGCTTTGGTATGTCCCACTTATGGATTCTCCATCCAATCATGCTGGAGAAGGGGCATTGTCTTACCTGAGCCTCTTTTCTCAGCATAATGATGGAGAATCCACTCCCTCCCTTTTAGAGTCAGTTTGGCCCTGGTCCAGTGTAACGAAAGCACACGTGTTGGACTAACATCTCTGTCTTGCCTTAGTCTCAAACTGGGGTGCTCTTGCACAGCAGAGGCATAGGTACACTTCAGACTTAGTCTTATTGGAGCAGGAAGATTAAGACAACCCACTTGTGGATTCTCCATCATCATGCTGAGAAAAGGCATTCAGGTAAGACAACGCCCCTTCTCTGAAGTGGCTAATGGGGTTGTCACATGGTGGGGAGAGTGTGCTTGAAATCATAGTTCCTCTTTCATCCCAGGTTCTCTACATGGTATGTTGTCAGCCCAGTTAACAGATCACACATGTGGTGGCTGCTAAAACAGGAGATCAACTATCAGCCGGTCAAGCACATTAGTGGGCTGGTTAACTTTCCTCCAATTTTTCCACTTCAGTCCTTGCTACTTCAACCTTCATTGTCATGAACAGAGGAACTGGGTCAGCAAATCTTCAGGGGTGGCAGCAGCTTTTTCAGGGATACGGGAGATGTCCTCCCTATAGCTCAGATGCTGCAGGCAACTCAGGAAATTGGCAGATGCTGAGGAGGGGGCGGGCTCAGTAGAACTGAATAGTACTTCTTATGAAGTTTGGCCACCCATACAGGTTTCAGCAGTAGAAGCACAATACTGAATGTCCTGCCTCTCAGCCCCCACTGATAGGCAGTGCACAAGAGCAAAAGCACACAATAGGGCAATTTTATTATTGACAACTCAACCCCCAGCCATTCCATAGACATTTGCATCACCTAATACTTGAGATCAGGTGGCTGTCTGAGTTATATCTAGAAGATTTAAGGAAAGCTGGGGAGGACAGTCTCTCTTACTCAACTGAATAACATCCAATTAGCTTCTGACAGTCAGCTAAATCCTCCACTTTTATCCATTTGTCAGAACCTGCATCTTCTCTTAGCCCCCAAAGGGCAATTGGATGTTTTTTCTCATGGATGAGAAAACCCACCAGTCTCTGCCCCTTAACTTGCCTTGCACAGTTTCCCTTCTTGCTCCTGAAATGGATTGCATCCTACTGACATAGTTGTGCCTCTCATGAGGACAGCATGTTAAACTGGCTGACTGGATGTGCTGCCCTGAGAAAAGCAAGTGGCAGAGATTAAGTGAAATCTGAATCCAAAACCGAGGACCTTAGTCTGCAAGAAAGTTTTGCAGACTAGAGTATTCATACCTTTAAAGATAAGAGACCCTCTAATCCAGTGATGGTGAACCTTTTAGAGACCGAGTGCCTAAGCTGCAACCCAAAACCCATTTATGCATTGTCAGGTACTGGGTGGGTATGGCCCATTGGGTGGGTGTGGCCCATTGGGTGGGAATGGCTATGGTGGTAATGGCAGACTGAGTGGGACTAAAAAGTTCAATCAATCAATTCCAACTTTGCAAGATCTTTTTTTTTCCTGCGAGAAGTTGAAATTGACTGATTGAACCTTTTTTTTTGTACATGGCGGTGTAGGCCTAAAGCGAAAAGGTTTTATAAAACCCAGCTGATGGCCTAGGACTGCGGTGACGGCGCGTGTGCCCACAGAGAGGGCTCTGAGTGCTGCCTCTGGCACCCGTGCCATAGGTTTGCCACCACTGCTCTAATCTATCCCTTCGCACTCCTGACTTTCTCTGTTTTCAAGACTCACGGCATATTGCCCACTATGGTACATTTGCAAATTGTACTTTCTTAACCATGATTTACTGATAAACTATAACTAACTGGATTCATTGCATATGTTAAGTCAAATCCAACTAGCTATATTATGGCTTAATATGCCCTGAAAACCTAGCCGTTGACTGGGTTCATGCCTCATGCTAAGCCATAATGTTATTTGATTTTGTCTTAGTGTCCTGGGTGAACCCAACAATTGTGGTTTATTCAATAATCCATGATAAAGTAGAACATGAGTTAGTGTAATGTGTGAATCTATTTCATAACAATCTTTCTAAAAGAGTGTATTCTTTCCACAGGATAACTATTTTTTAAAATATTACAGGAAACAATATAATAATGTTTACCTTTTTACTTCTTGTTATTTGACCGTGCTTTAGGCATGCATTTTCAGTTCAAGTTGGAGGGGTTAAAGATTGCATCCTTTTTATAATTAATTTCTGCCCAGGGAAATGAAATCTGGTCAATCCTATTTGTGCATTTACTAAAAGGTAAAATGTGAAATGCCGGGTAGCTTGAGTCCAATATTATTAGGCTGAAATGCAAGGCTTACTGGAAGGAAACTCCTTTGCACTTAAAAAAAGCTTACTTCTGAGAAGTCATAGCTAGGATTGCATTGTGGAGTTCCTGTACACACCATGATAGAAAAGATGATGCAAAAGAAAGTTTCCCATTTTAGAAAGCAAACACTAACGTGTCAGCTTCTCTCCACATTCAAAGCAGCTGGACAGGAAATGTTGCTGTTCTTGTAACACAGCTCAATGAACACAATTTTCTTTCCTGTTTCTGTGAAATTTCCCCTGAACAATTCTGAGGGAGGGAGTAGGAGGATGAAGAAGGTCCTGGGCTCCCTCTTAGATATTTCCATCTCCCACTGAAATCCCCACTATCTCTACTATCAAGAAAAGACCATCCTGTCTTTGTAGAATGTGGTTTCAGATGTTTGATGGCAGTTCTGTAAAACTTCATTTCTAAAATAAAACGTGCTCAGTAACTTAGAGGATGCCATTACCTCTTATTTGTTATCATATTGCTTTTATTGAATTTGCAGCAGAATTTTCTGCTGATCCCTCTGTTAATCTAGTTTTATTTCTAGCCCCTCCCATTCCCTCTTTTGTACCTTCTCCCTCTAATCTTGCAGAATAACTGGAAAACCACCCTCTGCTTCTTCCAGCTGAGTTTCAGGTTATGCACCTTGTTTATTTATAAAACAGATCTTCACCTGAGATCCAATTCTCAGCCTACTATGAATTCAGACCAGCCTTCTCACATGGTATCCTCTTCATGCCTTAACTATACCAATCTTAGTCAACTTGGCAGCATGGAAATTCTAGTGCTAGCATCTGAATGGCATCAGTTTAGAAAACCCAATAAACATAGTTTTTATTTATTTGTTTGCTTATTTAGGCCCTATCACTCAATCCAAAAGACAACCAAATTAAGCTCATGAAAGAGGGGAGAAAACACTTAAAAACAACAACAACCATCATTAAACTGCCTAGGACTTTAAATCATCTTAATCAATGGATTTAGCTGAAGGAGATGGAAGAAGCCATACCTGTGACTACAAGCAAGAGCCCCAGGGTGGCCCCAAAGTCCCTGCAAATCCAGAAAGAAGAAGCTGCCATAGCTGAGCAAAAGCTGAGATGGAAAGAATGTGTCTTGGATTGGACTCAGTCGGAGCTTCCGAAAAAGACCTTCAGCCCTCAGTTTCTTCTTTCTTTTGACAAAGGCTGAGGTTCCTGGGCTGAGCTCTTGTTTCCTGCCCATGCAGATTCAGCGGGTAAGAGGCAGTCCCTCGGGTGACCTGTGGGCAAGGGAAGCTTTGAACAGGGTGCAGCCAGTCACATGACAGGGGTGCTGAGCAGTTTGATTGGCAAGAGCTGTACTTAGTGACTGGGTCTCACATGGAAAGTGGAGAAAGTTATTCTTGTTTGCCATTCTTTCTCTTGTTAGGGATATTGTGCTTTGAATTATTTTATTTTTATTTATACCATGCTGTTCCTTTCCAAAGACTCCAGAACACTATATGGAAGAAAATCACAACTAAGAACAATAACCAACAGTAAAAATGAGAACAGTAATTGAGTACAATAGTTGAAAATGATTTATTATGGCTAATGCATAGCGATCCTTTTGATTATTTAAAGGCTTTTCCCTCCAGAAGCAAATCTATATTTGCTGAGCTGAATTCATGCTGACCACTGAACGTGGTAGTGAATGCATTCAGCCAGCTAGACAGATCCTGGTCCACTGGATGGACTCATGAACATAAAAACAAACCTCTTTTTCTTTATTAAAAGTTTTAAAAATTTTATTACAATATAAACCCCCACTTCCCAGAGCTGATTACAGAGTAACAAATAAACAAACATAATCTAACTAACATAAACCAACTATACTATTAATCAAAACCATAACACACTTTAACTCCTTCTCAAAACAAATATTAACAAATTAACACAAAAATAATAATATAATTAAAACTATTAATAATTATCTAAAATCTACTCAAAAGCAAGATAATATTTTTCAGTTTCATATTTCTTTTGAATATAATCAATCCATCTTCTCCAAACCAAAATGTATCTTTCTTTTTTTTAAATTTTTTTATTGAAAAATTTTTAAAAGTTTTTACAAAAAACAGAAAACAACAATATAACAACAAAACAAAAAAAACCACAGAATTAAGCAAACCAAAACAACCCTCCCCCCACCCTCCCCAAACCACCCAGACCCTCCCCCCCCCGGAGCTTCCCAGAGCAGAATATAGGCTTAATTAAAAAAAATTAAAAAAAATTGTATAAAAAGAAAAAAAAAGAAAGATTAACAATAGAATATAAATATATATATGTAAAAATAAAAGTTATAAAAAAGCTAAATAATATTTTTTTATATCCAATTTAAATTGTATAAACTTTATCCATTTGTCCCAAATAGCAAAAAATTTCTCTTGTGATTGTTCTTTTAAAAAAGCTGAAATCTTTGCCATTTCCGCCAGGTAAGATACTTTAAAAAACCACTCCTGCAAAGTGGGCAAAGATTCCTTCTTCCAGTATTGTCCTACTAACAACCTTGCGGCTGTGATCAGATTCAACATCAATATAACCTCCTTTGCATCACAATCAGTAACTATACCTAACAAAAATAATTGTGGGGTAAATTTTACCCTCTTTCTAAAGATTCTCTGAATATTCCACCTCTCCTTATACCCTCTATCGCATGCCAAGGTATAGCCCATAGTGGTATTTTTAAATCACTTTTATAATATTTTCTCCAAACCCTAAGTAAAGAAGTTCTTATAATATGAGATTTAAAAACCCAATCCACTTTCTTATTAAATATTAAATAGGCATGCCAACCGAAAAGTAAATCCCATCCCTCCAGATGGAGTATCTTCAAATTTGTTAAATTTACCCAATCACTAATTAATGTTAAAGCCACCGCATCGTGGTATAATTTTAAATTCAGTACCTTGAGTCCACCTCTCTCACGGGAGTCTTGCATGATTTTAAACTTTACCCTTGGTTTTTTCCCTGCCCAAATAAATTTATTAATACCTTTCTGCCATTCATTTAAATTAATCTCATTCTTCAAAATTGGTAACATTTGAAACAAAAAGAGAAACTTGGGTAGGACATTCATTTTGATCACTGCGATTCTTCCCATGAGAGATAGCTGCAACTTCTCCCAATTCCTCAAGTCTTTCTGTATCCTAACCCACAACTTTTCATAATTATTCTTAAACAATTTTGCATTAGAAACAGATAAAGTAACCCCCAAGTATTTTACCTTATTAACAATTTCAAAACCAGTCAAATTAGCCAAAATTTGTTTGTCCCGAGTAGTCATATTTTTAGGTAATATCTTAGTCTTATTAACATTGATCTTGAAACCCGAAACCAATCCATATTGGTGAATCAGCTGTAATAACATTGCTACAGAATGGGTAGGTTGAGACAAAGTAACCACCAAGTCATCTGCAAAAGCTCTCAATTTATATTCTCTTTTGTTAACTTCTATTCCTTTTATTTCCTGCGACCCTCGAATCTTGATCAACAAAATTTGCCATGTTAAAACAAACAATAACGGCGACAGTGGACATCCCTGTCTAGTACCTTTCTCTATTGTAAAAACCTCTGACAAACCCCCATTGACAATAAGTTGTGCCATTTGTTTTTGATATATCGCAGTAAAAGCTTGTAATATTTTTTCACCAAAATTCATCTCTTCGATTACTCGTAACATAAAATACCAATTCAGTTGATCAAAAGTTTTTTCAGCGTCTAAAAATATCAACCCTGCAGGAATTTGGTTATTATTGTCTAAATATTCTAGTAAATTAATAATTTGTCTAGCATTATTTTTCATGTATCTACCAGTTATAAAACCAGATTGGTCCCTTTGTATGAGGTGGTGCACAACCCTCATGAGCCTATTAGCTAAAATTTTTGCAAAAATCTTATAATCAACATTTAAAAGAGATATAGGTCTGTAATTCTTTGGTAAAGTAAGATCTTGATCCTTTTTTGGGATCAAGGATATAAAAGCACTGCGCCATGACGGAGGGATCTCTGAACCCTGTAAAATACTACTAAAAAGGTCACCTAATGGTTGTATCATCTCTTCCATTAAAGTTTTGTAATAAACAGATGTCAAACCATCCATACCCGGTGCTTTCCCTAATTTCAATTGCTTAATTACTAACACAATTTCCTCCTTAGTAATTAAAGCATTAATTTCATATTTCTGGTCTTCTGTTAATTTAGGGAGATTAGCCTCACTTAAGTATTTGTTTATATCTAGAGTTTGTACATTAGTAGATTTATATAGTTTTTGATAATAATCTAAAAAAGATTTCTTAATCAATTCCTTCTGGTACACTAATTTACCCTTATAATTTATTTTATCTATTATTCTCTGTCTCTGTTTCTTTCTTAATTGGTAAGCCAACCATCTCCCTGGTTTATTGGCATTACAAAATGTATTTTGTTTCATAAACAATAAGTTAGTTGCAGATTGATCCGCCATCAACATATTAAATTGTGATCTTAGCAACTTTATAGATTCTTTAATCTTTTCATCTAAAGGAGTTAAAATCAAAGCCTTTTCTTTTAATTTAATCTCATCTTCCAATTCTTTACGTTTCTGAGTCTGCTTTTGTCTATGAAAATTATTCATTTTTATCAAGATCCCATGCATAAATGCTTTACCTGCATCCCATACCATTGGCATTGATGTCCCCTTATACATATTCAAAGCAAAGTAATCCTTTAAACACTCCTTTAACTTTTGAACATTCTTCTCTTGTCTAAATAAATTTTCATTCACCCTCCAGGATCTTCTCTCCTCTTTTTCTTGAATCAGTTCCATCCAGACTGGGCTATGATCCGTCAACGACCTAGGAAAAATCTTTACATTTTTTACCTTATTATATAAATCCGTTGTAATAAAAAAAAATCAATCCTTGAAAAGGATTGATGTCTATCTGAAAAAAAGGTGAAGTCTCTCTCCTCTTGATTACGTTCCCGCCAATAGTCTCTCAATTCCCAATCTTCTTTCATATCAAAAAAGGCTTTAGGTAATTTAGCCTGTTTAAAAAGGGGAGAAGAACCTTTCTTGTCCCTTTGTGTGTCTAAGACACCATTCCAATCACCCATTAATATCACGGATCTATAATCCAGTGAGATTATTTTCTGATGTAGCAGTCTGTAAAATTGTTCCTGCTGTTGGTTTGGTGAGTAAAGTCCCACTATAAGTATTTTCTTACTATATAAACCAAGTTCAATCATTACATATCTTCCTTGGGGATCTGATTCTACCAGACAAACTGGTAAGTTTTGCTTAACATAAATAACCACTCCCCCTTTCTTCCCAGGAGCAGAAGATACAAAATGAGATCCCAGACAGGTATTAGCTAAATATTTTTGATCCTTAAGTAAAATATGAGTTTCCTGCAAGCAAATAACATCATTATTATGTTGCTTTAAGTAGTGAAAAATTTTCTTTCTTTTCTGAGGGGAATTAAGACTGTTAACATTCCAGGTCAGAAACTTTGCCATCTCCCTTAACCAGGAGCCTGGAGAAGACTGCCTGAAGATCTGCCATTGCTGTATGTGTTGCAGAACTCTTGGGTCTTGCTCCTCCCACCGGCAATGAGGCACTTTCCAAAGAAGATTCTTTAGTTTCTTTCTTTTGTTGCTCCTTTTCCTTGCGTCTATGTGCTGCACGGGTCATCCTCTGCTCTTTAACCTCTGTTTGACGTTGCCATTCCACTTGTAACTTCCCAGCAGTGATCAGACCTAATGCTTCAGATTGCTGTTCCAACTCTTTACCACTCAAAGGTTTCTGAGCAGATGACGCTGAGCCTGCACCCAGGACCGTATTATAAAACTCTTTAGCTTTAGCAACTGTATTCAACCTATAACGCAACCCCGCATGGCTCAGAACGATACCCATTGGAATCTTCCATCTGAATGGCATCGATCTTGCTTTAAGCTCATTAGCTAAAAAAGCAAAGTCTTTCCTGTTTCTTAAAATTTTAGATGGAATTTCCTTTAAAATAATAACATCTTGGGCAGCAATCTGGAATCCCTTTTTATAAAAAGCTTGTATAACTTCATTACGCAAGGATCTCTTTGTAAAATAAATCACCACATCTCTGGGCAAGTTCTTCTGCTTTGCAATCCAAGAATTAACTCTATAAACTTTTTCCACTTCTCTGCATAATCCATCTTTATCCATATTCGAAGCAACAGCTAGGTCAT